ATTTTTGTGTTGCTCCAATCAAACTGGTGCTGTTTGGTGCCAGCATGGGTAGAGATTAAGGATTTGGGATCATGGCATTTGACTGCCAGCCGGTGTTCATGGATACTGTTTTTCAATTGACATGATGTTTGTCCCACATAGAATTGGTTGCAATAGTTACAGTTGATTTTGTTTCTTTCATCCTTCCATTTCTTGTCTTTGGTTCTGGATAATTCCTGGCAGAGTGTGGCTATGAGTTTGTGGGCTATTGCTATTCCTAGGGGTTGGAGAATTCTGGCTGCCATTTCCAACACACCTTTTATGTATGGTAGGGTTAGTTTTTGCATGGTGGTTGGCTGTGTGCTGTTTTGTGGTTTGGGTGCTGTGTGTCCGAATATGAAGTTTTTGGGATATCCGTTACAAAGAAAGATATCAGTTGTTTCTCATCTGCTTTTCTTAGTGTTGTGGTGCTGCAGTGTGTCCTGGCCCTTCTGAAGAGAGTCTGGACACAGCTTTTTTTGTGTGCAGTGAGGTGGTTGATTGTGAAACTGAGGAGCTGGTCTGTGTGCATGGGTTTGCGGTAGACACGGGTTTCCAGTCCTCTGTTGTCTAGTCACCTTATGTTGACATCGAGGAATGGGAGTCTGTTGTCTGTTTCCTCTTTGTGTGTGAATTTGATCCCAGGGAATATGTTATTAAATAGGTGGTGTGTTTCTTCAATTGGGGAGTGTTTGATGATGGTGGTGTCATTGACGTTGTGTCCAGAATTTTGGTTGGATGGTGGGTAGAACTATGGATTCGAGTCGTTGCATAACTGCTTCTGCTATTAGGCCTGATATGGATGATCCCATCGGGGTACCTTGTACTTGTTTGTAGATTTTCCCATTAAACTTGAAGTATGTGTTGAGGCCACCCATTTGGGGACCCGTTATCTTCAGTATTTAAAAAAAATGGAAAATGGAATAATATTCCAATGTCTAGGAATGGATTGTAAAATTATTTTTTATCCAATTGCTCCATTCATAGTACTGTTGTAAAGCTTAGGATTCCCATACCATTTCTTTGCAGCAAAGGATGAGAATTTTAAACAGCTAGTTGAGACAACATCCTGCAAGTTTCTGGGTTCTCATTCCAGCATAGGTTAATAGTGATACAATGAAAAGTCATTTTGAGATTGTCTATTCCAGCCTCTCTATTCCAACTTCCTGCCTTTCAGGAGGCTATATTAACAATAATTCCTAGTTGTGTAAATAATAATAATAATAATAATAATAATAATAATAATAATAATAATAATAATAATAATAATAATAATAATAATAATAATAATAAAGTTGGAAGGGACCTTGGAGGTCATCCTGTTCAGGCAGGAAACCCTATACCATTTCAGACAAACGGCTGTACAGTCTCTTCTTAAAAACGTCCAGTGTTGGAGCATTCACCGCTTCTGGAGGCAGGCTGTTCCACTGGTTAATTGTTCTGTCAGAAAATTTCTCCTTAGTTCTAGGTTGGTCAGTTTCCATCCGTTGCTTGTCTTGCCTTCAGGTGCTTTGGAGAATAGCTTGACTCCCTCTTCTTTGTGGCAACCCCTGACATATTGAAACACTGCTATCATGTCCCCCCTCGTCCTTCTCTTCATTAAACTAGACATACCCAATTCAAGCAACCATTCCTTATATGTTTTAGCCTCCAGCCCCCTAATAATCTTTGTTGCTCTTCTCTGTACTCTTTCTAGAGTTTCAACATCTTTTTTACATCGCGGTGACCAAAACTGGATGCAGTATTCCAAGTGTGGCCTTACCAAGGCATTGTAAAGTGGTATTAACACTTCACATGATCTTTATTCTATCCTTTTGTTAATGCAGCCTAGCACTGTGTTGGCTTTTTTTGGCAGCTGCCACACACTGCTGGTTCATATTTAAGTAATTGTCCACTAGGACTCTGAGATCCCTTTCACAGTTACTACTATTGAGCAAGGAACCACCTATACTATACCTGTGCATTTGGTTTTTCTTTCCTAAATGGAGAACCTTACTTTTTTCACCATTGAATTTCATTTTGTTAGATAGCGCCCAGTGTTCAAGTCTGTCCAGATCCTTCTGTATCTTAAGCCTGTCTTCTGGAGTGTTGGCTATTCCTGCCAGCTTGGTGTTGTCTGCAAATTTGATGAGTTCCCCATCTATCCCCTCATCCAGATCATTGATGATGTTGAAGAGCACTGGGCCCAAAACAGAGCCCTTGGGTACCCCACTACACATTTCCCTCCATGTAGATGCAGTTCCATTGAGGACCACATGCTGAGTATGGCCGGTCAGCCAGCTACGAATCCTTCTGATGGTGGTGCTGTTTAACCCACATTTTTCTATCGTAGTAGGTTGTGATCTACTTTATTAAATGCCTTATTGAAGTCCAGGTAAATTATATCCACAGCATTCCTGTGGTCCACTAATTTTGTCACTTGGTCAAAGAATGCAATAAGATTTGTCTGGCATGATCTGTTTTGACAAACCCGTATTGGATTTTGGTAATGACTTTGTTTGCCTCTAGGTGTTTTCTGATTCGTTGTTTGATTATCTTTTCGAGAATCTCTACGATCACAGTGTATGAGAAAAATAAAAATCAGCTGACCTTCAGAACATAGGACACACCCAGGTCTTACTTAGACAAAGAAGCGAGAGACAAAGAACAAATAAAAACTCCCCCCTCCCAAAGATCTCCAGATATTTTACAGGACTAGGAGCCCTTTTACTTTGTATTCCACTCCCTCATTTTACTTATGGCATAACAAATATGCATAAGAAACTATTGATGATACAAATATAGCTTTAATCTTTCATATAAATATGATGTCACTGCAGTTGCATGGATATACAAAGATAAGTTAGAAGCATTTTGTTTACATTTTATATTAATATTTTAATCCAAACATTACCTCACTGTGAAATTTATTTTGTGATAGGATGAAACCAGGAATCTACCAGATATGCAAATGATTTGTAATTTTTCACCCTGCCTTTCTTCATTAGAAATATTCCAAGATTTCAAGATCTTTTTCTTATTGCAAATATCATTTGCAAAGTCTAAAAAAAATATAACATTGCATGTTTCTTCAGACATGGTGCCATCAAGTGGCAATTGCCAGCATTTTTTCAGTTTCAGATATATTTTCTAGAGCTTCTCTAATTAAGCTGTAATTTATGGGCCAGTTTGACCAAGATTCTTGAAGGGTCCACATTTTCAGAAAAGGACCCAGAAAAATATCTGCACAAGTGGGGATCCCTGAAAAACTTATATGTTCATATCAGCCTGACTTATTTAAGCCAAAAGATATCTCATTCCCTAACTCTCCATGAATGAAGATTTGCCAGAATAGCAAAAAGTCCAGTCAGTAGATGAACATTTGTTTGCTTGCTGAACGGTGAGATTAGCAGGAATATTTTTGGGATGAAGGAGAAGGCAGGGAATAATCAATTACATTGCAACAATTATCTAACAATTATGATCATAATCAGACAAGATGACATAAACTTCCCAGTATCTTCCCTGGGATAATAAGAGGTTTCTGTACAGGTATTCCAGCTCTCATCCTCATTCATTTCACATCACGGAGGACTTATGCATCATTGGAAGCCAATGTAACTGTAAGTCAATTCCTATTAGAAGTGGTTTAGGAGAACAATACTTAAGAAAGGTGATTCATCCTTTCTTTTGCTTGAAAAAGCATACAGCATTTCTATATGTTTATAAAACATATATAAATTTTAATTTTTAAAATTTATGTGGTTGTTCATCTTAAATGGATAATCCTGTGTACCTCACAACAAATCCCAGAAAATACTTTTTTTAAAAAAAATCTGTAAACAACCATTATACATCAACCAAGGTATCATAATAAAATTGCCAAAAGAACTGTATCTACAGTATATTGGGTGCAACCAACATCTCAGCCAGTTCCTGGTGGAAGAGCTAGGTCTTTACAGTGAAGGTTAAGAAGGTTGGGGCTTTCTGAATCAGAGAGTAGTTGTTCCAATGGAAGATTCTAGAGTAGAGAAGGCACATCTTCTAGAGCCCAGGGTGATCTGGATTGTGCTCATCCTGTCCGATGTGGTGGGATGGACAATCCTTGGAAAGTTGTGATCCTGCAAGTAACCTTTCCTGGTACCATGCCTAAAGTTACCATGAGTTCTCATGACTGAGGATGGACCTGATTCTGGATCCCTCCAGTCCTACTCCAACTGCTTAATTATTATCCTTAAGTGGCTATCATTAATTTCCAACATTTTAAGTTATGGTCCATGAAACATAGTTCATGATATTGTCAACCCTTCAAGATAGGAAAGTTATGAAACAGGAGCAATATGAACTCCAGGAATGCTCAGTATTGTTGTAGGGTAGAATAACAGAATCTCTCTGTCGCATCTTACATCAAATAAAATTGAGGGTGGTGGTGGTATATTTTGAGTTTTCATTTTCTGAAGATATACTTATTTAATTTTGAAATACTTTTAGTATTTTCAATGTGATTCTATTTAAATATAATAGAAACATACTTTGAAAATGCTAAATGTATTTCAGAATTAAATAAGTACTTTGCACTATGTTGAAGTGCAATCAAGCTAAGAATGAAATTGAAGGCTGATGGGATACAAAATGTTTGAAGCCTCTCCATTTGATTTACTTTTATGGCTATAAACAAACTTATCAAAAATAGAAGAAAGTTGCATCCATCACAGTACTAGAAAGGAAAAATTGCCTAATTGCATAAACAATTCGGAAACATTTTTCTAATAGTAGGTTATGTATCACAGCACAATGCATCAAAAGCCCCTTTTTCTGTTAAGTAGACCACAAGAATTATACATCTTTCTCTCTTGTAGTTGCTGAAATTCACTTATCCTTAAAGCAACAGTGAAAGGTGTACTGTAAACTTCTTTATAGCCCACAAATGAGGCTAGGATGCCATGGCTGCTGTTTGATTCAGCCTTATAACTATTGCCGCATTTATATACTGTACTAATATATGTTTTGTTTTAGTAATATAATGCTAAATCATATCCAATGGTACATGAAGGCTGGGTTCACGTACTGCACTAAGTCAGATCCAAGTGCACAACATTGTGGTTGTGCATGATATGAGAATCACGCTTGTGTCTTCTGGACAAAAATTAATTTATAATGTCATGTCAAGATTGACTTTCAGCAAAAGAATAAACCAGTCTTTTCCTTCTCCTGAGGCGCACTAGAAGACCTCGTGTTAATTAAATGTTTTCTTTGAAACTTTATACCTAGAACCTTGAATGTGATACTTTCGGTTTTTGGTGCTGTGTTTTTGTTCATTATCAAATTTAGTCTGATTTCTCTGTCATGGGATGCTCTTCCATCTCCGCTAGGTTCTGTACTCATTTAACCATGAGAATCACCAGGCCCCAGTCTTTGTGCTGCTGGAAGTCCAGATACTGGTGCCCCGCAATGCAGTGGAGCTCCCACTAACTTTTGGCCCTTGCAGCTTCTTTATCTTAGTTTCAGGTTCCAGGTGCTGGCTGATTTCCTCCAAGGAAGAAATCTCTAAGTCACTATCCTCCTCATAGGCAAACTACATCAGGAAGAAAAGAGAAGACGAAGTGAGAGCAAGTGATGGAAACTTGCAAACATTGGATGCACCAAGAAATGCATGAATAATTTGATATTTGTGAATAAAAAATATTTGATTCGCAGTTACCCTTCAGATTTTATGTTTCACTGAATTTTTATAAAATATAGATTTAGAAACATATCCATTTAAACAGAACATTTTAACTAAGATGAATTTGTAAAAACTTGTTAAAATATGTTTATATATATATATATATATAGGGACTGCTGCAAATAATTTGTGAATATGCAAAACAAGGTAGACACAGGCAAGATTTATTTATGTGGTTGTTATATATATATATATATGTTTTCTGAGGTTTTCGCGGGTGTTTGTATGTAGGTCTTTGGTTATTCGGGTTTTCTCCCGCGTAAAATTGGAAGTGTCTTGGTGACGTTTCGACGAAGTCCCATTCGTCATCTTCAGGCTGGTGTTTTCAGCTTCGTGCTTCTAGGAGTAATGTGTGATCGCAGCTGTTTCTTCCTTTTAACTGCTTTTAACTGGGACTTTGTTGAAACATCGCCAAGACACTTCCAATTTTACGCGGGAGAAAACCTGAATAACCAAAGACCTACACACACACACACACACACACACACACACACATATTCTAAAACCCTTTTCTAAACAATTTTATGCTGTTAGACATTGCACGTGAATGTCTAAATAAGAATGACTTATCAATGAATTCATACAAAATTCACCCAATTTAGGCAGGCCATCATACAGAGGTGGACAACCTTTAGATCAAAGTCTCTTTCTTGTTGTCCCTTGAAGCACTTCAAAATTTACCAATCTTCCCATGATGTTGAGGTTAGAAATAAATGAAACTGAATTGTAAGCCTACAGGCCTAGCACAATGTAAAAACAAAAGTCCTCTCCTCAGCTCCTGGATGAAAATCACTGTTCAGCTTTAATGGCTGCTGTGGCCCAGCATTTCATATCATTTCCCTGCCTCGTTTTTGTTACTGGCCCTTCAAGTAAAAATTAAAACTAATTGTTGTCTCTAGCTATTAAAAGTATCTACTTTTGATTATATGCCAGTAAGTCATTGCCAACTCTTAACAACCACATAAATAAATCTTGTCCGTGTCTACCTTGCCTTGCATATTCACAAATTATTTGCAGCAGTCCTTCTCTTTCTGATGCTCTCTATCTGTGCTGGCAATCTAAGGAGCCTTTGGTCCTGGGAAGTTGTATTTCCAGTGTTATGGAGGGCACTAAATGTTGCTATTCAGTGTATGTGTGTTTATAAATTATAATCAATGTCACAGAAAACAAATATGGGTTCTAGAAACCTATTAAGTTCAGATATATCAAACACATTAAGCTCAATATTTCACTCAAAGCTTTAATACCTGAGAGTTTATAAAGTAGGATTATCAGATCCAGGCTACAGAAATCTAGACAACTGCTACATGGTATCCAAATATCTTCTGTATCTCTTTCCTGCTGTGTGTTAGCCATCTGATTTTTTATAGTTTTTGCAGTTGAGATGTGGTATATCTCAATCTTTAGGCAGCCTAACCACATTATGGATTAATACAATGAACAATCCTTTTGTTGGCAACATATTGACTACTTCTGAAGTACTCGCTATCTTGATCTTTTACTTTTTGTAAATAATCTTAAACCCATTTATTACTATGGCCTACAGAATAAAACGTAACTTTCTTAGAAACGTGCAGATCGTGCTACTAGTGAATCAGTTATGAACAAGATCTGTACTGTTAGGAAGCTAAATTAAGAGGCTACTACCTACTACCTTCTTGGGTTTTGAAATTAACACCAATACCTGAAGCTTTTTTGTGGGATGATTGGTTTTAGCATCTTCTTTGCTTTGGATGGCAAAGAGCTTCACGCCACCTGGAGGCTTCTTTCCAGGTATGTTGAGTTTCTTCTCCAGATTTTTAGCCATTGACTGCACTAGTGTTTCTAAGTGAAGCAAGGAATCAGTTAGGCTCAGGATTAGTGGTGACCTGTGATTGTACTAGCCTTTCAGCGTATTGCTAGGCCTCATAGGAAATGGTTATTATATTTGAAAAGTTATTTAGCCTAAACATCTATTAATTCATGTTTTCTTACTGAATTTTATAAAAACAATCATGTATGTTTTATAGCTTGTAGTATAGCAACACACCCTGGCAAATCTCCATAGTAGTATTTAATTCAGCTATAAACATTGGTATTGACATAGCAACTACCAAATTTCAGTTGTCTGTCATTTAAGCCCATCAAAAATATATATAACAAGATAAATGTTGTTCCAGCTCGTAGTAATCATTTGATTGCTGAAGTAGTTGATACATATCTTAGTATTTGGATGTGTGGTTTTTTTTTACTTCTTTGACACTGATATTTGTGTACATTATGACAATAATAAACCCAATTAAATGATAGTCACCTGAATGAATTCCTGCTACAACTGAGGAACTCTTTCCTGTACCAATTTTCTCTTTAGAAAAGTCTGTGTCAGATGAATCCCACTCACTCTCTTCCACCTGTGCTGCTCTGGGAACAGGTTTGCTCTGTTTTGGTTCTGCCTTGAGGGATGTGTGTTTTGGAGAGCTCATGTTTGTTTGTTCCTCAGACTCTTCAGTCTCAGAGCTGAAAGGTGAAGTACTGAAGGAGAGAAACACAATAGAAGGGAAAAATGGGAAAAGAATAAATATTATGAACCGTTTTATACTGGATCTTATTGTATTTTATTTTATTGTGTTGAATTGTATCTTGTTTCATTATGTTTTGAGCTGCCCAGAATCAATCTGGAGTCAGGAAGTGTCCAAACTGAATAAAATCAATAAACACTTATTACAGAGAGCCTGCTTTGTGAGATTCTAAGAATGCTGAAAGTTTACAACTTCTCTAATAGAATCTGAAGTACTTTCAGAGTAGCCTAGCTAGGGAATGCATATCAATGACCTATTTGTAAAAATGTGTCGCATCTTTCTTTCAAAGGTAAACTCAAACAGTTTACAAGCAAACACCCAGTATACCTCAGAAAAAATCAGTGTAGCAGACTGACTGAGCTTGTAAGGGAGAAGGCAAGTGGCCTCAAGCCACCATTTCCAGAAGCTCCATCTCTGACTGGGAAGAGGTGGCTTGGTAATGCTTGTTAAAATCATTTATCTTCCAAGTGATGCCATTTCTGGCATCCTTCTAAGTGTGTGAAAGAAAAGGCCATTATAACCTGTGCTGTTTCTGGCAATTACATGGTAAAAATGCAACTTTGTGATTACCTAGCATCGAGGCATTTGATTAGATGATTCATCCTCCTCCCTTTCTTGGGAGATAGACCAATCCAATCATGGATAACAAAAATTATTTTAAAATAGTTGATGAAAAAGAGGACATATTGCAAAAGCTATTCTGAAAAGGGAAGCACAGTGCTTCAGACAGACCACAAGAAGGTACAAAATAGAAGAAAATTAGAATGTTTTCTGGTAACATCTTTGGAGAGATGCTGTAGGGTTTTTTTCTTTTACAGATCACAAAAACAACTAATACTCTACATGAAGAAGGGCTAAAGATTGGAATTACACAGAATTCACTAACTTGCACGGAGAAATACAGAGTTTCAATTTGAGTAGGTAACACACAGAAAAAAGAAAAAAGTTAAAGCAAATTTATATTTTTTCCAAAATACTAATTTTTATAGCAAAAATTCAGTTGCTTTATTTAGTGAGAATTTCTCCAGGATTCTGTAAATTCTATTTTAACTAGAGGCTATTAAAAAGCTATGTTATAAATTCCCCTCTTTTCCAATCTCCATCCAGAAACTTACTTCATTTTTAAAAGGAAATTTTAAACTTTTGTTATTTCTAGCAGAGAAGAGAAATGCAGTATTCTCAGTCTCTATACACAAGGAATCATATTGCATTCCTGAATGTGGAATTTATGTCTGCAGTTGCCTGTCAAATGAGCTGGGTCTGTGAATATCAATGTTTTTATAAGCTTTTTTGTTGACTATTTTGCACATTCACAATGATTAGTTAAGCTTCCTAAGTCTCATGCAAATGAATGGGTGACTATATAAACTCAATAAGTAAATAAATAAATAAATCACTTTAATTATAAAAAGATCAAGCACAGGTTAAAACATCAAATCAGGGAAATCCAATTATAATCCAGAACTCACCTGGGGAAGTGGACAGCAGATTGTTGAAGAGAAGGTGAACTGCTTCTAATTTGATTTGGAGATGGTACCTTTGGAATCTCTATTGAACTAGTCATGGAACTAACTTTGCTCCGAGGAGCTGGTTTGGGTGTGTCCAGGGCATAATATTGTACTTCCACTGGGTGTGTTCCAATCTTCAAAGGTGTAACCTGGAGTGGAAAATGCTGGTCTCTTTGGGTTTTTTCTGAAAGAAAAGATTGAAAACATTTGATTAAAAAACAACAACAATCTGACTGGTATTTAATCTGGGTCTCAAAGATCACTGTTAAAGAGTTCCACATCAAAACATTACAACTGAACCACTGAGCATTTCACAGCATTTTTAAAATGCAACCTTTATATCTCCTTTGCTTTGTCAATAACCTCTAATAGCATTAAGGCAGGTACAAAAGCAGGATTTGCAGTTCTAACATGAGAAAAGTTTTATGTTTGCCCCAGAAACCAAATGAAGCAAGAAGCCTAAGTAAAAATCCTCTTAGTGACTGGCTTCAATTATCCAGCTCACTCAAACATTACACAGAAATTGTATTGGTCTATTTGCCTCTTACGTGTTCATACCTGGATCACTGATGGTTCCCAAATAATCTCACAATAAGTATCTCCCCACTATTCTTGCCTTTTCATACACTTGATCCACAGATTTATTATTAAAGCCAGAATCTCGGGTTATGCAACTGCAGACACATGTACATATATACAAACCTTTGGTGATTGCTTATGACTCACCCCTGTTGCAGAAAAATGTCTTGGATTAAATTAATTTAAATGTTTATCTCCCAATCTTCATGAAAGGCTACAACCCATCTTTTTAAGCAGGATTTTAATAGCACACAGAATAGTAAATATTCTTCTGTATGCTACAAAAGTCATGCTTAAAAAGATGGGTTGCAGCCTTTCGTGAAGATTGGGAGAAAAATATTTACTCTAGGGATTTATTTATTTTTATATTGCTCTCACCACCATATTTACCCAATGCATGGATCAGAATTAAAGTATGTTTTTTCTTGGATTACCAATATTAAGAAGTGTGGGAAACAGCATAGGCTAAACAATTACCAAGAACCTTGAAAAAGTCTTTAGTTAAGGATTTATTCCCATTTAGTTCTTTATGATAATTTGTACTTTTGTACAATTGGCACTTTTAGAGTATTTTATTTGTATTATATACATGTTTTGTACAGTTTTATCCTTTTAAACACTGTAAGCCGCCTAGACTTACCCTGGGGTAAGATGGGTGGCAAACAAATTTAATAAAATAAAAAAATGATATTAGTAAAGTAATTTCTTATCAATTAGTTCTATTTATATAAATAGCCTTTTGTACAGAAGTTACTGAATATGCTTAAAATTTCGGATAGCTCAAGATTATAAATGTTCTTTTATATCTCTCTCAATTATTTCTCTGTGTTAATTTTATTTCTATTTTGTTTTGTTATTAATTATTAGGCCTGAATAGTAGTTCAGATTCAAAGGAGAAAAACTTTTTGGGAGTGCAATGGAGTCCTACATAGCACCAGGGAGCACAGTGTCATTGAAGCATTACATTTGTTAGTCTTTAAGATATTTTAAGATGTGCTATTTTTACATGAAATGATAAAATATAAATCAAATAAAATAAATGTTATGTTTCTAGATAATAAAACTGAGCATCATACCTAAGATTGGAGAAAACAGCAAGGACATATTCTCTTCATCCTTCTGAACCACTTTCTTCTGCACTTCTTTTTCAAGTTTATCTCTCAAGTTTAGCAGACCTGGAAATGTTTTAGACTTCTGCTGCTGCTGTTTTTTAATCAAAGTTCTTAAATGTTTATAGGTTTGAGCTGGGATACCTTTTGTACCCTATAAAACAGAACAAATGTTTCTAATCAGTATAAATGGGTGCATGAGCCCTGCTCTCATCATTCATGCAGCAAATAAGTTCCTGAGATCTCAACCTCTTCAAATTAAACAGGGGATTCCTCATGTTAGGCTGAATGTAAATTACTGGAACACTCTATTCAGGTGGACAACTTAGTATCCCTCATTTGAAAAGTTGCTGCTGAATCAAAAAGGATGAAAACAAGGAGGATTAAACTGCTGTACAACTCAGTATTCCAATCTTAAATCCATTAGAAAAGGAACATAATTATCATCTGATCTCCCAGATAGATGAGCTATGTCTGGAGTCGATAAGCTAAGTGTGAGAAAATAGCTGGGAATGAAATAGATAAGTTTTCACACAGAAAGTGGGATTAGGAAGGAAACTGAAATAGACTAAGTGGCTCGTAGAAAAAGAGTTGTGGATGGTCTCATAGAGAGAAAAAGAAGATGGCCAGCAAAAGTCAATGGCATTCAGGCAGTTTTGGCTGCCAAAAATATGCCAATTCTAGATGGATTGAGGACCACTGAAGAAGCTCCCTGGGTATAGGGAAGATTACTGAAGATTAACAAGGATTATGTTTTGAGGAATAGTGTAACCTGTACAGAATTTGGGAGAAAGAAGAGGATCTGAAGGTGATCATTTTACTAGCTATGAGAGGATGCCAACTAAGTTAATGTAAACCAATCTATTAATTCTAAAGGGCATTAGATATAGCTATGCAATTTAAGACCACTGATTTCAAAAGAAACATTACTTTGCAATAGGGAAATAATTAATTACTGACAGCAGACCATTAAAGTCATAAAGTGTTTTAATATTTTTACTGCAGTCTAGCTTTTCTATGCAGTTAAGTCAAAAGAAAAGAGGGGGGACTTGAAGACACATTATTTGCTTTCGATACATGTTACTGATAGATCTATCCAGTGGTGGGATTCAAATATGTGAACAACCGGTTCTCTGTGTGGATACCACTTCCAGAAGTCTATTCTGGGCCTGGGCAACAAAAAATTAGCTACAGGTTCTGCCGAAGTAGTGCAAACTTGCTGAATCCCATCACTAGATCTACCTAGTTGTGAAAGCAAAACTGTGAGACAATCCAGAAGTTTGTTTTAAATTTTGCAATATTGCAGTTAAAGAGAAATGATAAATTAGTTCATGATAGAGTTATTGTCTATTGTCTATATTTCCACACTCCCTGAGATAGCTCCATTGCACAAGGTTACATGTCAAGCAATAATGCATTTCTTCCAAATATATTTGTCTCATGCTTTCTTATTTCCTTGTCTTTTATTGGATTGTTGCAATATACTTAGACAAAGAAGTCAAGAATGAATCTTAAAAGAATGTTGTTTAATTAACACTTCATGATTTTTGGAGGCAAAAGAAAAAGAAGTTCCTTGGCAAGCCATTTTCCTGAAAAAGTTTCAGAGGAGGAAGAGGAGGAGAGGAAGAGTCTGATGCTAGGGTGCTTTTCAATTTTCTGTCAAGCATGTGAATGTGTTGAACAGGTATTCGAAGATGAGTATAATTTTATGTCACTTTTTTGCCAGACAAATTAATATACATCACAATCCTCAAAATTGCATCCAACTGAAATTCAAAGTAAGTCTAGTGGATAAAAAATGAAAAATGTTCCTTTTCCACTACTGAGCCGTGATGGTACAATGGTTAGAATGAAGTACTGCAGGCCAGTTCTGCTGACTGCTGGTTGCCAGAAGTTTGGCAGTTCGATTCTCATTGGCTCAAGGTTGACTCAGCCTTCCATCCTTCTGAGGTTGGTAAAATAAGGACCCAGATTGTTGGGGACAATATGCTGACTCGGTAAACCACTTAGAGAGGGCTAAAAAGCATTGTGAAGTGGTATATAACTCTAAGTGCTATTGATATTTTCTTCTCATAGGACTTACTCGTTTCACTCCCATGGTCTCCAGTTTATGTTCAAGTATCTCTTCCAGATCTGGCCGGAATTGCTTCAACAAATTGGGATCCTTCCGCAGTGTTTCCAGAACTCTATTCTTCCTGTCCAAAGTATCATCTAGTTCTACCAAAACCAATGAGCAGGATGGTTAAAAATTCTCATTCTGAATGTTTAACATTTATACTCTACCCCCAAACTGCCACTTAAACATTTATTTCGGGGGGGGGGGGAGTCTTCATCCAACTTCAATTTAATCTGCCATTGAAGAAGATGGTTTCTGTAAAATTCAAGAAAATAGTCCTAACTCCTTCATTTATTCCAGGACAGCAGAAACAACCCAATACAAATATAGTGATCTAATGTAGTGCTTGATTTAGTCCTAATCAGGATTTAATATAGTCCCAATCCATGACTAGAACTCTGTAACACTATAACTATCAATTTGTACACTGCCATCCTCTGGAATTAATTATGACAATCATCTAAAAACCAAAGTAAATGACTAGCCACTGTCTTTTCCTGACCTACAAGAGTTTATCAGCATCTCGGAAAATACCACTGAGTAGTCAGACTCTCTCTCAGTAATAGAAATATTTAGCATATAAGAATGGCAGGTGACGTTTATAAAATATACCTTCTTCGCTAGATTCTTCCAGCTTTTCTGTCTTGGGTACCTGTTGGATTTCTGGAAATTAAAAGCAGACTTTTTAAAAAAAGGCCTATATTCATATTCCAAAACACAATCACATCTTTGATATTCTCATGGCATTAACATGACGAGTTAGCCATTATTTTAATGGGAACTAAATGTAACCCAATTTGGATCCAGCCCAGCTCTTTTAAAAGAAAAGAGAGAGCAATTTGAAGCAAATAGCACGATGGAACTATTCCATTAAGAATACTGATGGGAAAAAATGGGCCAGATGAAAAGTATTATCACTTGGACTCCCTGCAAAGTCCATGAATCAGCATTTTACACTATGTGATATATCTTATCTGGATGGATAAAGTGAAGAGGGGGGGGAAGAAAGAAATAATAACATGTAAACAAACCTTAGATTTTTATACAGGTTTAAATGCATTACCATACCCCTTTACAAGTTGTTGAGCAAATCTAAGCATGGCAATGAAATATCTGCATATTGTTTTTCTGTTTCTTTCTTTTGCCTTCTCTTGTTGTCACATGGGAATTTCATAATTTACTAGACAACCTGCAATCCACTGGGTCATTTCAGAAATATTTCCTTATCTAAACAGAGAAACAGAATGACCATGGGCGGGCAAAAAAGCAATGGGAGCAGGAGTGATTTCTGACTTCCTGCTGGCTTCTCCATTGACTTCTCTCATGGGATGCTGACAGAGAGCATTGGAAATTATGATTATGTGTTTGCAATGCTGTAGCACCCACAACTTTGCCAAATTTAAATCCCATGGGAGTAATGGAGCCTAGATTTTGGATGCATATTTTAAGTTAGCCTATTTGAAGTACGTTGGCTCAAAAATTGTTGCCTTATGAGGCACCACTTCACCCAATTTAAGATTACAAATAGGAGAGTTTCATTAATATATAGATGTTCCTCACCACAAGGATTAGTCTTCTTGAGCTTTGTAAAATGCTTAGCAGACGTAACGACAGCAACAATAACAACAACATTAAAAGCTTCAATATTTGCACACTGATCAAATGGAAAGGGAGCTAAAAAAAAACTTTGAGTAAGTCAGTAGTTAGTATTGACTATTAAACCTGTAGAACAAGTTAAGATTTCTTCCCTCAGAGTAGCAATAGGATGATTAAATATAGAAATTCACATCTCTCCACACAGAGAAATGCTTTAAATTTTGCCTAATGTAAAGATAAACCACATTTACATATCATTCAAAAGAGACAATAAAAAGCTAAGAAAGAAACAAAAAGACCAGAACACATCTTCTAAAGCTACCAATATTCAGGTGAGCATAGATTAACACCAAACAATTATATAGAAAACAATACCAAAATCAATGCACTACAATGAGAAAAGACACTCCCACCAACACTGGAAGGGCAAGCTACTGTATATAAACAGGGAACAAACCCAACACTCACTAGCACTGATGATGTTACCTAGTCTGGTAATGAAACATCGACAATCAAGCAACCAAGCTCAGAGAGCACCAAGGACTCCACAGATTAAAAAGTGTTCTGCAATGGATCCTATTGGGCATCATTAATATTTTAGTTATAAAGGATCCATAATCTAGAAAAAAATCTAGCTATCTCAATCTTTCTCTAGGAGAGAAAAACCAGTGGGCGCAGAATGGAGTTCTATTTGTTTCCAACTTAATGAAGTACCTGAAAAATCTGTTCTACTTTTCTTTTTTTTAAGCGTTGAGACTGGCAGATTTACACCAGCTCTAGGCTCTTTAAAAATAAGAGTCTTCCCTGACTCTTCTGGATAGGCCATGTGACTGTAAGCTTTTGCATGAAGAAGCATGGCTATTAAAACATTCTATAGTTTTGTCAAAAAAGAAAGAAAATCTACTGTAACTATGGACAGTTATTCAATATAGGGATTGGTCATTACCTCTGGGTTTGCTGGAAGTCAGAAGCTTAATCTGAAAGGTAATGTAAGTATATAAAATAAGTCAGCTATTATTTACAAGGTGTAATAAGTATTTAGCTGATATGACTGGTACATAATAATGTAAATCAATTCACAAAGTTACTATTCACATTTTGAAATAAAATGTGTTTCACATGTTTCATATGTGTCTTCTACTACCAAGAAGGAAGTGGACATAGCAAGAGGAGATGCTTACTGGCACTTTACACCGGCCAGAAAAGGAGCATTTACAGAGAATTTTCTCTGCTGATCTCTCCTAGGTACAAGACTCAGTTACTACTTAGATGAAGAATTAAAGGAAAGCACATTTTGGCCTCTTTCCCTTAATGCAGGGATCAAGAATCATGAAACATTATTTAGGCAGAACAGAATCAAGGGAGGATCAATATGACCCCAAATGGATATTAATATAACCTTAAAGTTCAACATTTTATTCTGTCATTGCCTAATAATTTATTTGTTATCCTTATCTCCCCTTTTAATCTATATGCCTGAGTGCAGGACCAGTCATTTGTTTCTAATATATCAAGTCACTTTAGGGGTGTAAAGTAAGTAAAGCAAAACTACATTCTGGTGTAAGCCATATATATTGTACGGTGAAAGTTTCTCACCAGCAAAGCAATTAGATTATCTGGACAACAAATTGGATACAAAGGCAAAGTGTGATTTGGAGCATATGTAGTATACAGGTAGCATCTGCATTTATTACCTTAAAATGGCTATGTCTTTTTCAAGATTTAAGTGGTTATTTCCACAACTGATGCATAATCCAGGGAAAATGCATTTCATTTAAGGTATTCTCAACATCACACATCCTCCAAATCACATTTTGCTCTTTAAATCTGTATCACACTTATCCCAACTAATTAAGTGTTTGGAATAAGGGAACATTAAGACATGCAGTTTCCTTATAAAATATGAAATGGTGTTATAGTCTTAGAAATGCTGCCTCATAGGAGTCTACAAACAGTATAGTTTGATTCTCAGAATAAGGAGCATTGGGATTTGAAAACAAACACAGGCTCATTTCTAAATTGAACTTCTCAGAAGAACTGTATTCAGCTTACTGTATTCTCCTGAGATTGGATGACACCGGCTTGCTTTCTGAGTTGTGTGGTAAGGGAAGCAAGTTGTTTCTTGTTATATTCAGCCATTTTCCATTGGTCAGAAGACAAGGAAGCCTTCAGTTTTTCATTCTCGTTCTTCAGCTAAGACACACAAACAAAAAAAAACATTTGGGTGTAAAGACTATTCCATTCTATTAAACACTTCATTTATAGAGACAAAAGGTTAGAAATGCAATTATGAAGGCTGCAACTTAATGGGCTGGTTGTCTAATGTCTTTGGAATCTGATTTCACAATGAAGGCATACAATCTTATCTATCTATCTATCTATCTATCTATCTATCTATCTATCTATCTATCTATCTATCTATCTATCTATCTATGGCAAAACGATACCTGTTTTCAAGTGTGAGCTGCATTATTCTGAATCTTATGGCTTAGTTATACTTATACCATAAAAAAATTGCACTGAAATACAATTCAGATACAAGTGTGGAGGGAATGGGATAGTATCTCTAGATTTGCTTTCCTTCATGAACATGCAGTGTAACGTATGTGCAGCATTTATATTTAAAGTATCTACACATACTATGTCAAACATAGATAGAGGGAGGTAGACCCTTCAGTCTTGCTTTGGCTACTAGAATCCTCTTAATACCAGGGTGGAGGGTGTATCATCAGTTAATCTCCTTGTCTATAATGGACGACAAAGATATTTAATTTCTTCTCCATGACGGTTCCTTCTGCATCCTCTGCCCTAAATGAATAGGCATGGCTGGCTTAATTATAGAATACAACGTCCTCATTTTTCTATTAGCAGAAAAAGTTGCAAAAATTTAGAGTGTACTCACTTTTTCTTTCTCCTTCTCCTTCTCTTTCTGAAATTTCCCAAGTTTCCACTCCCACTCGGTTTTCTGATAAATATTGTAAAAAGTACCCAGCCTTATTTAGTTATCTTGCCAGTTATCTATCACAAGTTATTTGAGTCTCAGCAAAATGTTGGTCTTCACATTTTCTAATAATGCACCTAATTCAGAGTGCCAACTACTGTATCATAAAGCAAGAATGGGGAATTGCATTCACTCCCATAATGCCTTGTTTCACCGAGGAATCTGTAAACCCATTTCAGTTTATACAAGTATTTCCCAACCTGATGCTCTCCTGGTGAGTATTCCTAGATACATAATTTGGGAATTTATGATCAGTTAGGAATGCTGGAAATCATGATCCAGATACCTGGAGAATACCATATTAAAAAGGACTAATATGAGATGATCCTACCATATTATTAGAAAGATAGGTTTTGCAGGATTCATCAATAAATATATCTTGCTTTGTAACTATATATGTATATATGTGTGTGTATGTATGTATAGGTAATGTGTGTATGCATACATATGGTTTTAAATTGCAGCTTGTATAAGTTTACTGATTAAAAATTATTGTCTCAGAAACATCAATATAAATAAGTTCAGAACACTATGGTTCTGATAATGTTCTTCAACAGTTACAGAGTTCAAATTAACTATTGAATCCAAAGGACTCTAAACAAAAGATATTAGTTTTAAGTAGTAAGTGGATCTATTGTTACACAATAGATCAAAATTATAATTTCCAGAAGAATGAATCAGTATAGTCATGGCTGAGTTGGTTGGGAACTCTTGGAGCTGTTGTCTCAATATGACTGAAAGACAATAGATGGAAAAGGCTGCATTATTCCTTTAGATTCCCCCACCTGTTGTTCAATCCTTGCCTTCATCCCTTGTAATTCTTTCTGAGTCTTAGTCCACTGTTGTTTCTCAAAAGAATCATCATCTTGCAATGTCCCAAGATGTGAGGCTACTGCATTCTTGACTTGTAGTTCCTGAAGTTTCTGCAGAAGGAATATGTGATCTATGACAAAGTGCCACAGTCTGCAGCTGCCAGAAAAATCAAAAATATTTCTCTAGATAACATATAACATTTTCCATTTAACACATATACTTATATGCAGCACCCTAACTGAAGTATGAGTATATGTAAGGAGGGTCAGAATTCCCAATTGCATCTTGTTTTAAATCTCTGATCAAGATTTTATCTTGATTGGGAAAATATTGATCTAAATATTATCACAATCACTCATATGACAACCTACTATCTGCCATAGGAAGAACTCTTGAGTAGAGAAAAATATGTTTATAGGGTTTCTTATTGTTGTTTTACACTTTGTCACAGGTAATAAAGCTGCTCATCCTTCCTTGGATCTATCAATAACCCATCCACATATGATAGGAAGAATAGAGGAGAACATGCACTTGAATTCCAGTTAATGATGGAGGAAACTGAAACACAATCTTTGATATCAAATGCCTATTGCTTAGAACATCTCTATCACATCAAGGATCTGCATGGCCTCCTATTATTCTTGTAATATTGATAATGTTTTCATAAAGCTTCAAATATTTGGCGTAAGCTACCCTCAGTCAGAATAACTGTTTTTTACTCCTAGCCAAGTCTGCCCCTATCCATTTTGCTATCTGCAGCAAAGGACAAGAATGCACCTTTTCATCATTTTATGTTAAACAAAAATGTTGGGATTAGTAGTTGGTGGATAGCATCCTGCATCCTTAGTCAGTAACTTAGTTTAAGGCATTCAGGAGTAAATCATATGATGCTCTGTTTTCCAACATTTTTCTAGGAATTAGATCTTTATCCCTTTGATGTATAAATAAGGCAGCAATACATCTCATGCCTTCACTTCAAGAATAGAGATGTGTCCATGCTCAATTAATGATGGTAAACATGTTGAATATTCAAGAAAATAGGAAAATTGCAAGCCATATTTTTTCCTTACTCCTTCCAAGGCAGAATTTTTGTTGGAAAAGTCCTTGATTTCCGTGAGGAAAAGTTGCCTCAGCTCTTCCATTTCTGTGTGAAACTTTGCTCTCTCCTCTTCCTTCCATCTTTCAAACTTTCTCCTTTCCTCATCTTCCCTTTGACGAAGACGCTCTGCTTCCTATAAGAAAAGAATTATCCCCAAATGGAAGCTATGTTATGGGGCTAAGCTAAGACTAGATTCAAGAAGTTGAAACATTTTTAGAAATTTTAGCACGCAATCAAACTAAACAAATATTCTGAAAAAAAACCTGAATGAGGATTCTTAAAATGGCTGAGGTTGAGAAACACTGATAGAGCAAGGGATAAACTAAATGACAGTAACTTGCAGAGACAGTTTGTACTATCACAAACATTTGCAGTGCAATCTATGTCCCACTAAGCTTATTGGGATTTCATTTCAGTCTTGCAGACCCTAACACTATCATGTCAAGTCTGACTTATGGTTATTGCACAAACAACTGTTTACTATTTTGACCTACTTATAGATATTTGAGAATAAGATGATGGCATTATCATTATGTAATTTAGTCACAGATGACCTTGAGAGTTACAGTACATCTCGATGATCAGTTGTTTTCTGATCTTGTTTGAGATAGGCAATAATAATAATAAATCTTTATTGATTAGCCCTTGGGCCATATCAAAGTGCAAAGTTCCAGCAACAAACTATTACTAAAGTTTGATAAAATCAATTTAAAATGAAATTTGATAAAATACAGTTTAAAATGGAACTAGAGTAAAATACGACTTAAAATGAAATTGGAGTAAATACAGTCTAAAATGAAATTAAAATAGAGTACAGTAATTTAAAATATAGATAAAATATGATAAAATTATATCTTGGAGTCACCCTTGAAATCTACCCCAATCAGTCCCACATATGCAGATCTCAGCTGAACCATTTTGTTTAAATACTGTGCTGCGTTAAATGTTATTTTCAAGTTCTGGCCGCACATAAAGTAAGTTGTTTTGATATGGGGATTAATACTTATTTAGCTTGTGGATTAGTATGTCCTCTAACTTTGACTGGGAATTCTGGGTTGGTAATCAAATACATCTATATGGCAACAGGCTGAGACGTTTACTTTATAATAGCATTATCAACAGAGAAGGATCCATTACTATTCTGGCCATCCCACTAGAGCAGATAATCCAGCAAAGTTGTTCTCTGACACAATAGTTAAAATTTCAATTAATAAAGTAATAAAACAGTATTTTATTACTTTGCTTTATAAAAATTACTTTTATTTCTTCATGGGTTACTTTTTTTTACATTATAGGTTCTTTATTGCTGCCTTAAGTACTATCTAACTTCATGTGCTTACTGGTAGATTTTGGGTGAATTTGCATGGTTAGAAAATAAGCCTCTGATTGTATTAGTTATGAAGGAAAATGTAGGGTTTTGCATCAATATTGTTCAGGCAAACACACTGAAATAAAAAGGCTAGGACATTATAGCTAGAAAAGCCTCACATTTAGTCACTGTTTTCAAACAATATCTGGAGAGGAAACAGATAGTCTGGTAATGATTATTCTGAAGGAATAAACATATCTGAGTTGTTTGATTTTGTTTTACCTGTGAAAATAAACTGGACCCATCACTGTAGAAGAAAGGACATCCCCTTCAAGTTGAGCTCAATTCCTGGTAAATTTATGGATGCGTCTAAATAATTGATGGCCAGTAATACAGAAGCCTTCTGCTGCTATTTTTTTTTAATTTTTCTAAATTATTACTGAAGAATGGAGATGCATTTTACCAATTTAATCTGCAGTCCTAATATTCCTCAGAGGACTTCTATTAAAATACTAATTAAGAATGAGCCTATTTAGCTTCTGGGCCCAGAGAAGATTGGCCTGTTGCTGTATCATAGCTGACATTTTTGACAGAGTGTGAATTATTTCCATTTTGTCTACATATAATTAGTTTTCACCTTGACAAAAGGCATTTGACTTTTGCTTTCCTTTTTATTCATATTCTTACCAATTCATACCTGAACCCTTTGCTGACTCTCAGCCTCCAGCTGGACATGGGTCTCCTTCAACTTGACCTTCAGTTCTTCAATCTCACTTTCCATTTGCTGCACCTGTTTCTTCTTCGATTTCTCTTTAGAGTCGATTCAAAAACAGACAATGTTAGCGATGGCCACAACTAGAAACTGAAGCTGTATATAGAAACTAAAATAGGAATTCAACTTTTTACTATTTATTTATTTATTTATTATTCAAATTTCTACCCCGCCCTTCTCCCAACGGACTCAGGGCGGCTTACAGCCATTTAAAACAGGTACATGATACAAAATACTAAATTTAAAATGTAATTAAAATAGAATATTAATTATTGGCCTTTTCTTATTAAAATTATTTTAAAACCAAATTAAGATAACCCTTAGGCCAGTCCT